CTCCTCCTCCCTCCCCCACAGCTCCCCCCAATGGCCCCACCTCCTCCCTCCCCCCATGGGTCCCCCCCACGGCCCGGCCCCGCTCACCTCAGGCCCCCGCTCAGTCTCCGACTCTCCCGCCACCATAGGCGGGGGGCGGTGACAGTTGAGCCCCGCCCCCCCGTTCCCATGCCAACCCTCCTCCCATTGGCCGCCGCCGCCTGCACGCGCCACCCCCGAGCCGGGCGCTTCCTGTCGCCGCGCGGGGCGCGTGGAGAGCGCACGCGCGACAAGGCGCCATAGCGAGTGTGGCGCGGGGAGGGGCGTCAGGAGATATCAAAGCGCATGTGCAAAGCCTCGGCCTTCTTGCGAGGGGCGGAGGAGACGCCCCCTGTGCGCTGACTACGCATGCGCAACAGAGAGACACCGCCATAACGAATGCGGCGCGCTGAGGGGACAACAAAGCGCCTGCGCCGAAGGTCAACCATCTTGGGTGTGGCAACCGAGCCCGTTGAGATCAACCGCACATGCGTAGTAGGGTCGCCCCGCCTGACTGCCATGTTGAATGTGGCAGCCACGGGCGCTCACACTACGCAGGCGTAACTGTCTGGCACCCGCTAGACGCCATTTTGAGTGTGGCAAACATTGGTGGGGTGCCAATTTTGGTCCATTGTGAGAGAGGACACCTCCCATCATGCACCTCACCAGCCCCCAGGCCAGCCTAGCCCCCCCCATGGGGGAGTCACCGCCCCCCCAGCCCAGCCCAGCCCCCCCATGAGGGAGTCACACACCCCCCACATCCCAGGGCCCCCCCCACACACTTTCCCTGGTCTGAACTGGCAGACCCACAAGGAAATGTGCTAAACCAGGATTTTCTCCCCCACCCCCCCCGCCCAAATCCTGCCCCCACAACTCCCAGGGCTGCTGCCCCCACATGGGGGCCGATCCCTGCTCGGGGGGCCACGCTGGGGCTATTGGGGAGAGAGGGGGTTCAGCCAGCCCCGAGTTCCCCCCATGTATCCCCACCCCCACCCCACTTCTCTCCCAGTGCTTCTCCCCCCCCCCCCCGCTTCGGATCTCATCGGGACCCAGCTGCGAGCCAGGAGAGAAGCCAGGAGTCCTGGCTGGCAGCCCCCACCCCTGAGCCAGAGCCAAGAGCGAACCCAGGAGTCCTGGCTCCCAGCTCCCAGCCCCCACCCCTGAGCCAGGAGAGAAGCCAGGAGTCCTGGCTGCCAGCCGAGAACCCAGGAGTCCTGGCTGCCAGCCCCGAACCCAGGAGTCCTGGCTGCCAGCCCCCACCCCTGAGCCAGAGGCAGGAGAGAACCCAGGAGTCCTGGCTCCCAGCACCCCGGCCCACTCTAACCACTAGCCCCCACTCCCCTCCCAGAGTCAAGGATCCTGGAAAGTCCTCCTGCCCCACCCCGGCCAGGCTGCCCGTGCCCTGCTGGCGGGGCGGGGGGGTGTGTGTGTGAGCAAAGGAACGGGGATTTCTCCCCCCCCCCCACAACTCCACCCTCCTGGGGTTTCCAGCTCCTAGCCTCAGAGACGGGGATTCCCCTCTTCGAGGTGCCAGAGCTGGGGGGCAGGCAGAGGGCACCCCATGGGGTAAGGGAACCTAGGATGCTAGCTGCCAGCCCCCCAATCCCAGCTGGGGCTGGAGTGGCTTGGCGCTCTCCCCAACCCCCAGGGACATCTGCACCCCACATTCCCCCCAAAGCCAGCACCCCTGCCCTTCCCCCAGTTCCCCTCACAGCCAGTGCCCCCGGATCCCCACAATGACCTCTGCACCCCCCCACTTTCCCCTCACAGCCAGCACCCCCTCCCCACTCCCCATAATGCCCCCTGCACCCCCAGTTCCCCTCACAGCCAGCACCCCAGCTCTTTCCCGTGACCCTACCCCCCACAGCCAGTGCCCCCCTTTTCCCACAGTGAACTCCGCACCCCCCCAGTTTCCCTCACACACCCCTCTCCCCACAGAGACCCCTGCCCTCCAACTCCCCCTACAGCCAGCACCCCCCTCTCCCCACAGAGACCCCTGCCCCCCCTGCACCCCCAGAGCTGCCCCTGCAGGAAAAGGCCAGGCCTGGAGTAGCCAGTAGCTACCCACGCTCCAGCCCTGGGGCTGGGAGTCAGGGCTGCCGGGTGGCCGGTGCCGGAAGCCGGGCTGGGCCCAGCGGGAATTCCCCAGATTTCCAGGAACCTGGAGGATTTTCCCATCAGGAGATTATGGGGGGGGGGGGGGTGGAGCTGGAGTCTGGCTCCCTGCAACACCCCTCCCCCAGAGCTGCCTCCCTCCGCCCCCCTGATGTCTGGGGAAAGAACCCAGGAGTCCTGGCTCCCAGCCCCCACCCCACACTCTAACCACTAGCTCCCACTCCTCTCCCAGAGCCAGGGAAAGAACCCAGGAGTCCTGGCTCCCCGCCACCCCTGCTCTAACCGAATAGACCCCACTCCTCTCCCAGAGCCAGGGAAAGAACCCAGGAGTCCTGGCTCCCCGCCACCCCTGCTCTAACCCAATAGACCCCACTCCCCTCCCAGAGCCAGGGAAAGAACCCAGGAGTCCCGGCTCCCCGCCCCCCTGCTCTAACCACTAGTCCCCACTCCCCTCCCAAGAAAAGAACCCAGGAGTCCTGGCTCCCGGCTCCCCGCCCCCCTGCTCTAACCACTAGTCCCCACTCCCCTCCCAAGAAAAGAACCCAGGGGTCCTGGCTCCTGGCCCCCCCAACACACACACACACACACACACAAACTGCTGTGCCATGATTTGCTTTATTTCCACAGGGGTCTGCGCCCTGTCGGGGGAAGGGGCACCCCCAGCCGCCCCGTCCATGCAGCCCGAGTCCAGCGGGGGGCACTCACGGCCTGTGCACAGCAGGAAGCAGCGTGGGGGGGTCAGGGTCCCGTCTGCTGGGGGGGACCCAGGTTGGGGGGAGGGGGCATTGCTCCACCCCCGTGATGACCCCCCAATAAATACAGCTGTTGGTGTTGGCGGAGGGGGGGCCCCCAGCTCCACGCTCCATCACAGGGCTGGGGTCAACTCAGCCCTGAAGCCCCCACCCCAACCCCCCGGCAGGCTCCCCTGGGGCAGGTAAGTGGTAGCGGGGCAGAGAAAAGTGCTTCATAGCCCTCCCCAGATGGGGGGAGGGGGCTGGGCCGACCCACGGCAGCCCCCCATAGTCTCTGAGGCTGCCCGCCCACTCCCCCGGCTCGGGGGTCCCCAGTTTGGGGAGCAATGGAGTACACAGTGCCTCCTGCAGGCGGTGACTGGAGATGCTCCGTCCATGGAGGCCCCTCGAGGAGGGTCTGGCTGGGAAGGGGTCCCTGCAGTCTGCGTTGGGGGGGGAGAAGGTCCGGCCCCCCCTTACTCGTGCACGTCCCAGATTTCGGAGAGCAGCGGGGGCAGCTTCTTGTCCTGGAGACGGAGGGCGAACACCTGCTCGGAGTGGACACTGCTGAGCGTGCGCAGGGCGACCAGCTTCATCAGCATCCGCGGGAACATCAGCCGGTCCTGGGGGGACGGGTCAGTGTGTGTGTGGGT